GTCCATGAATCACTTGAGTTGGCATTAATATAAGGCATATCTATTAAAGAAGCATCGACTGAGTTACATTAAAGAATAATTTAATAATTTTATCCCAATCAAAGAAGAATTCTCCATAGAAGATGTCAGAAAAATTAGTATGTATTCTTAAATTTCATACTTTGTTCTTTAAATACAAATGAAAATAAATATTACTACTATAATCTAAGGTAAATTAGCATTGAAAAATGCATGTATTTAGTTTAGATTTTTATGGAAAATGACAAAGATGTAGCAAAGATAATATTATTGACATAACAGTAACTCTTATTGGATGCACATCAGAAGAATTCATTGTAAAAAAAAAAGATAGCTCCTAAACTTATTTAATTAATAAATTAGGAATATAAAGAATTTTATATTTATAAAAATTAACATTTATTCTCATTGAAATAGAAAAAAAAATCAAAGTCTGTATTTCAAGAAGTTTATGTTGAACTTTAGAAATACATTCAACTTTTTTGTGAAGTTAAACGAGAAGATAAAAGAAAAACGAGCCTAGGAAAGATAACAGTGAAAAGAATACAACTCTAACTTGATGTCACAATCAATGTAGATGATGAAGACACTATTCTAGAATTGCCGAGGAAAAAGATAAAAGGTGAAGAAGGATTGATCTTAGAAGGGAGTTTTATAAACTTTTTTAGTACTTTTATATGCTTATGTGGATGTTTTTTATCATATAAAAGTATACTAGAGGTAGCATTATATTTACTTTATATTTTTTATAAAGTCTATTAATGATTAAGAACAAATTTTATATTCTCTTTTCTATCGTTTTAGTATATTTTTAACCAATTGTGTTGCCTTATTGGTTTTAAATATTCACCTTCCTTGTATAACACAATTTTAATATTTTTTACTTTTGCAACACTGTACTTTCTCAAGTAAAGCTTGGGTTTATGTCAATCCAAATAATATGAAACTTCAAATTAGCTTCAGATTATATTTGTTTTCTATCAATTCAAATATCAACATGAAATTTTAAATTAGGTATAACCTATTTAAACAAACATAAAAAAAAATCGCAATGTTAAAGTTTAGAGATAAAAGTAAGCACGAACTATTAAAATTGAACTAATGAACAAATTTTAGTTAGGAAATAAGCCAAAAATAATTAATCATGGTATCTAACTACGTGCATTGCACGTGTATAAAACCTAGTCAATAAATAATTTCAAGTCGTGTGAAAAAATCATACCGCGTGAATTAAAACAATCTGATTTTAATTTAAAAATTAATTTAGTGTATATTTAAAGGAAATTTTTGATATGGAATAGCGGTTCATTTGGCAAAATAAGTCACCAAGAGATACACATGTGATTAGTCTCATCTGATTGTCACGCTAAAAGGTATAGGGTCTCACAACTTTATCTTTTGATGATATATTTTGCTAAAATAAGCTATCATTTCATGACCATCAAAACCATATTTAAGATAGAATTTGGATATGTTCAAATTTAGACAAACATTGAGGGTTGAAAATCCTATAATTAACATGTCAGTGTCGAGAAAATGTTATTCACACTTGCATAACAGAAAGTATTAAACTGTCACTTAAAAAAAAACCCGTGTATATAATTGTCATCAAACCAAATGAGCTTATGTACGTGTAAAGTACGAGAAACTATAAAGTTTTTAAGTACTAGTTAGCCTACATAAGTTTGTGAAAATCTTTAATATTTTGAAATTTGCATGAAATATTCGGTTTTGCAATTCTTAGAAGTTATTTCAAGTTGATCACTCGATCCTGAGATATAGTAGCATGATGTAAGGATTGAGAGAACAATTTAATGATTTGCTAAAAAAATCCACTAACGTCAGCGCAGGTCACAATGCAGGAACAACAAAGAACTACTAAAAATTACCGAAACAATCCAAAAATTCAAAAAAAAAAGAAAAATTAATCCGATGGAGAGACGAAAACGGTTACAGATTTGGACACGTGGAGAACGAAGGCAACGAGATCTACGGGAGACGACGACGGGATCTAGAGGCGACGGCGACCGCGACGGATTTTGGGGGAGAACTTGACAGCGACGGGCTTTGGATGAGATTGCGATGACAACAGGTGGGGAAGGTGGCGACGACGACGGCGACGACGCTTGGGGGACATGGCGACATCGTGGTCGTGAGGCGCGACAGCGATCTGACCCTGGTGAGGACGAGATCAGATCTGAAGCTTGGGGTCGATGTTTTGGGGGAAATGAAAACGTAGGGCTTTAATTAAACAGGTTTTGTTGTTTTGAGAAAAGCGTTGAAATTCTGTGTTGGTTGTGGTTTTGGACAGAAAAACAGATGGGTTCTCTCGGCGTTTTGTTTTTTTGTTTTTTTGTTTTTTTACAGAAACAAAACATAAACCCCACAAAACACGCTAGTTACGAAAGGTAGCCTAATATTAGTCCCCTAAATCTACTATAATTCCATATTATTTCTTAAAACCCCAGCAATTGCTTAGGGGGTGTTTGGTTCAATTTCTAGAAATTATAGGAAATATTTTCCACCTAAAATATGATTTCTTTGTATTTCTTAAAAAATTATAGGAAAAGTTTTGAGAAATCAAAAAGTACCAATTTTCTTGTTTTTTATACTTTGCTTGTTTGGTTCAAAACAAGAAAATAGCTCATAACTTTATAGAAAATAACAAGATTTGGTAGGTTTTTAATTAAATATGGTATGTGTCAGATTTCTGGTGATTTCCTCTCATTTTGAGAGGAAATTGCTTTTTGTAAAATTTGGTAGGTTTTGTTGAACCAAACACAATTTACAGAAATCTCTGGAAAACTTTTAATTACAAATTTGCCATTGTCAGATGTTTTGAGAAAAGTTTTCTCAAAAAATGTGCAACCAAACAGCCCCTTAGTATACCATAAATTCATAGTGTTATTGCAATTTCGTCCTTCTAGCTAACAAAGGTAAGCTGTCCCTCACATTTAGCGGTTTGAGGGAGACTTTCCATTATTCCCTCAATTATAACATACTAACATATTTCTTAACAGTTTTAATTGGACAACTCATTCCCCTTAAAACTCGAAAACAATTGTTTCATCTTCTCCAACGATCAAACCCCCAAATCCATATCTTAGCCTTTTCAATTTATAGAATTCCCTCTAAACTATATGTAATCATCTTAATTTCTTTTCTCTCCAACATTTTAAAATACACAGATGTGTGCTTAGCATCTCAAGTTATGTCGCAAGGCTCATCTTCTACCCCTAGCGAAGCTTCACGTTTTAATGCCCGTGGGCTATTTGAGAGGGAAACACATACTAGAGGGCATTTAGATAATTGCAGATATTGGGTTAAGGGTCAGCTCAACCATGGTTGGAGAAACTTAAAAAAAAAAAACCCAACATAGGGATGATATAGTAAGAGCCTTATAGATTTGAGGCTAATGAGCAATTTCTCAGTTTTGAGGGAATGATATAAAAAATTATGGACAATGTAAGGGACTAACATCTAAATAACCCAACTAGTAATTTGTTTCCGAACAATTTTTCAAAACAGCCCCAAACAGATTTTTATTTTTCAAAATCGATCCTTTTTTTTATTTACCAAAACCGACCCGTTTTTTGATTAGCAGCCTAATCACCCTCCTAAACAGTCGGGTTGCCAACCCCGATTATTTAGGAGGATGTTAAACCCCAATTAGAAGGCTTAAACCATGAAAATTTATGTCCTAAATAGTCGGGGTTGGCAACCCCGACTATTTAGGAAGGTGATTAGGCTGCTAATCAAAAAAACGGGTCGGTTTTGATAAATAAAAAAAAAGGATCGATTTTGAAAAATAAAAATTTAAATGGAACTATTTTGAAAAATTGTTCTTGTTTTCCTCTCTAAACCTCTTAATAATAGGACCAACCCGCAGAGCTCCGTCAATTTGATTGTAGCTGGAGGAATAAATAAATAAAATTAAGAAGATGCTGCGAAGGGCTCCGACCTTAACCCTTCGCTCGCTTATCGATCATCATTCCTCCACCGCTGCCGGTGGTAAAGCTCTCCGCGGACGAACCGCACATACCGCCCGGCCCGCCGTGCCGCCGCAAATCCTCGTCGAATTTGAATAGTGGCTGTCTTCCTTCTTCTTCTTCTTTTTCGTTCGATCACACGCTGGAGATTCGTCTCTCCGGCATCGCTGGGCTCTGTATCATTCGCGTGCGGCGATCGCCGCGATCGGCGGAGGCGAAGGCGGCCGCCATCGCCCGATCTGCTACCGAAAGATGTGGTGCTTTATCAGTACGAGGCCTGCCCCTTTTGCAACAAGGTTAAAGGTAACGATCTCTGGTTATTAATTCGATTTTTTCTGTTAAATTGCTGTTTAGATTGTTTCTCTGAGAACAACATCGGCGATAGCCATGTAAAAATTTCACGTTTGGAGAGGAAGCTGGACTTAGGGGTGCATTTGGTCCGGATACGGCTCGGATATGATGCTTATCATATCCATATCTGCTTACCCATCTTGGATACGGATACGGATACGGATATACCTTGGTAAGAAAAATTTACAACCACATCCGCTAAAACCGGATACGGTTACGGATATACATGCGGATATTTAAGCGGATATACATGCAGATACAAAACATATATGAGAAAACTAGATAGTATTGAGAAAAACATAGTTCATGTGATACGAAAGAGTTTGTTAATATGTTCATTATAATTGAAAAATTAAGATTAGACATCTTGATCATCAAAATTAACCACAAATCCATAATCTAAGAATCGAAACTATCGTAAGAGTATGACTAATATGTATTCGGATATTTCGGATACGGATACAGATATTTCACTACAAGACCATATCCGTAACCATATCCTATCGGTTATAGATTTGAGTAACCATATTTGTATCTTAACGGATATGATTACAGATATTTTCTCGGATACGGATACGGTTAACACCCCTAAGTATTAGCAGAGAAACATGGAGTTTATTTACCTATTTATTTATTTGGAAAGATTCTCTATGGCGAGCTAACGCACTCAATTACATTTAGTAATTAAGCATTATGGTGATGTCATTTAGCCTTCTGAGGACCCAGCATAGGAGCATCGACATATATTTAATGCCAAACAAAGAGAATAATAACAGCACTTCTGGAAGAAAAAAAAAACTAAAATTTATCTTCTATAACCTTGAGATAGATATACGAAGCCATAGCATCAATGCCGAAATTTGAAAGCATGCAAAAATTTAAAAGTTGATACAAAACGTTGATCATGAAATATGCGAGGGATGCCACTTCCATGCTTGGATACGTACTGAAAATGGGCTTGCAAAGTTATGGAATACGACTTGACAAAAGGTTATGGAGTCATGACTAGTATAAAAAATTGTAGAAAAATTACTGTTGTAAGGAAAAAGAAGAAGAAAACTCGAAAATTAAGCTTGATACAGCCCATTGTTGTATTTGCTATTGGACTTGTCAGAAACAGGGTGCAGGTTCAGGGGATGCATCGAGTACTGACAAGCCAAACAAGTCTGAGACGGATCAAATCCTTTAAACCTGTTAAATAAAAATTAAATAAACTTATAACATTCAAATAAATCCGAAATAAAAAGAACAGAAAACCTAGCCTGATCGGGTAGCAGTCGTGCAATTACTGCACTAGAAGTGTCCTAGAAGATTGAGGACTCACCTATCGCTTTAGCGCAGATGATCCTCTCTCCCCTAGCGGTAAAACCCCCAGAAATAGCATGTCTCTGTACTCGGGCGAGAGTATAGAGCTTCTGCTCAGATGAAGACGGTTGCCCAAAATTTAATAAGAACAGAGAGTTTAAATTTTTCGAGAAGAAGACGACTAAGGACTTTGTTTTTCCGAGAGGGAGAAGAGTAAAACGAATTTTTGTTTCTGTAATTGATGTGTATTTTTCGAACTGTGCAGGTCTATATTTATAGGGTTGGGAAACCCTGAGAGCTGTTGAGAATTTCGCACGTTCCTCACAAATCGTGCAACTTCCCACACGTTCGCCGTAGCCGTTTGAACTTTCCGCATGTTGCACGTTGTCGAGTCAAAAGAAAACGGACAAAATAAATTGAAAATTCAAAACGTAGCGAGGCGGGCGACACGACGGGCGGGCGCGCGCGCGTGTGAGATGCAAAGTCCAAACAAATTAAAAAAATCCAAAACACCTTCCTCTTAGGGGCCCTGGAGGGGTAAAGAGAGGAGAAATAATTTAAACCACCAAACATTCATTACACTAGGCAATGTGGGACTATTCTTTGAAGACAAATTGTCTTTTCTCCTCTACCAGGCCAACAGTCCCCCCCCCCCCAAAAGACAATATTGATTGAAAATCGGGTAATTAAAATAAATCAATGAATCACAAAATAAATATAAATTGGGCAACCTTTCGTATCATGAATTCGGGAGATGTAGCTTTCGGGTTTGAATATTTCCTTAATGGGTTCATCTCAACCTGAGGGACATAATGAACTTGACCTTAAATTAGGCCCCTTGTACCTGGTATTGATGAAACACACATAATACGTCTTCATCTATTGAGTAAAGCGAGTTGAGCGTTAAAGACCATGCTTATAATAACTGACTTATGAGAGCTTTTAGGGGTTAGCCCTACCCTCCAACCGCGACCATCACGGTTCCTTTTACGTAGGTAAGTTCTTCAAAGGTACTACAACTGGATATCATACCCTCCACAATATATGCGATGGACTTATTAAGAGTAAACTCAACCTAACCAGCTGTATCATAAGAGCATCGTCATCATAGAGAAGGGGTAGTAGTAGATGTTACTATAATAACATATGAATATATCTAGGTTGATGTTCTACACGAGTGTCACTAGTCCAACTTGTTCCTTCCACATTGAACCTACATTGGGACTGCGTCTCCAAATAAAGGTTGGGTTCCCACTGTCAGTGATCTCATCTATAGGCTTAACCCCATCTCCCTCGATGAATTTAGAACCACACTCCTGGATAGACCCTTAGTCAATGGGTCAACAAGATTCTTTTCAGATTTTATAAAGTCTAGAATCATAACTTTGTCTAGCAGACGTTGTACAGATTTATATCTTATTTGAATATGTCTGTTAAGTTTTTTATTTGCATGCGCTTATTTTAGAAGCTCTATGATGGATCTAGAATCAAAGTGAATAGAAATTGGAGGAGAGGGTTTAGGGACCAAAGGCAATTCAGAGAGTAGATCTTTTAACCATTCTGTTTCTGTGTAAGTTGTATCAAGTGCAATTAATTCAGACTATATGGTACTCCTGGCAATTACTGTTTGCTTACACGATTTTCAAGATACAGCTGCACTACAAAAAAGAAATACATATCCAGATATAAACTTTACACTGTTGAAATCCGTAACCCAATTGGCGTCACTATACCCTTCTATTGCATCAGGGTACGCAGTGTAAGCCAAGCAATAGTCAACTGTGCTTTTCAAATATTTAAATACTCTCTCTAAAGCAGTCCGGTGATCTTTGCTAGGGTTGCTGGTATATCAGCTCAGTCTCCTTACTGCATAAGCTATATCGGGTCTACTCCGATTGGATATGTACAAGAGAGATCTAATCAGCTGAGAATACTTCAGCTGGGAGACAGATTCATTTTCATTCTTCTTTAAAGATACAGAAGAATCATAAGGTGTAGAGACAAGTTTAGAGAAAATTAAATTTGGTCAGCATTTTCTCAATACTATGAGAAAGACTCAAAGATATTCCTCTAGTGTCTCTAGTGATTTTTATTTCAGGTATTATGTTAGCTAGACCTAAGTCTTTCATGTCAAAATTCTTGAAGAGATAATCCTTAACTTCTAAAATTACTTCAAGAGTTGTTCCAAAGATAATGATATCATCAACATAAAGACAGAGGATGACATAGTCATTGTTTATCATTTTAGTGTAGACACACTTGTCGTGTTCATTCATAGTGAAACCATACTGTGCAATGATTTTGTCGAATTTCTGGTGTCATTGTTTAGGAGTTTGTTTTAGACCATACAGAGATTTAACAAGTTTACAGACTTTATTTTCCTGACCTCTGGCAATAAAGCCTTCAGGTTGGTTCATATAAGTTTCTTTATCTAAATCATCATTCTGAAAAAACAGTCTTGACATTCATCTGATGTATGATCAACTTATGAATAGCAATAAATGCTAATAATACTCGAATAATTAAGATTCGGGCTATAAGAGAATATATATCGAAGTAATCGATGCTCCTTTGCTGAGTATAACCTTTAGCTACTAATCTTGCTTTAGATTTATCGATGGAGCCATCAACTCTAAGTTTCTTCTTGAATATCCACTTGCAACCAACAGGTTTACAACCTGAAGGTAAGTCGGTGAGTATCCAAATATAATTTTTTTATTGTAGATTTTATTTTATTATCAATGGCTTCTTTTCAGAAAGAAGATTCAGGAGAATCTATTGCTTCCTTAAAGGAGCTTGGATCACCTTTAACAAGAAAGGTAAAAAAGTCTTCTCCAAAAATTATTTTGAATTTTACCTCTTTTACTTCTTCGAGGTTCAAAATCTAGAGGTTGAGAAAAACTAGAAGATGATAGATCAAAAGGAAGAGATGATCTAGGATATTCTAAAATTTTAGATTTGAAAGAAAAGATGTTTTCAAAGTAGACTGCATTTCTTGCTTCAATGATAGTGTTGTTGGATATGTCACTGATTTCAGAGTTAATGACTAGAAATCTGTTAACATTGCTATCTAGTGTATATCCAATAAATATAATATCAACAGTCTTAGAACTAATTTTTCTCTTCATAAGTTTGGGAATAGCTACCTTAGCCAAACAATCCCAAACCCGAAAGTAGTTCAACCTAGGAGTTCTCCCCTTTCAATATTCATAAGGAGTTATTTCAAAAGTTTTGCGGGGAATCCTATTAAGGATGAAACAAGCAGAAAGAAGAGCTTCACCCCAGAGATTTTCAGGTGCTCCTGAACTGAGTAACATTTAGTTTACCATGTTCATAAGGATTTTGTTCTTTCGTTCAACTACCCCATTAGACTATAGTGTATAGGGAGCAATTACCTCATTAATAATATCTTAGCAATACTCGGTCATTTCATTTGAGGTATACTCCCCCCCTCCGATCAGATCTTAAAATCTTAATCTTCTTTTCAAGTTGGTTCTCAGATTCAGCTTTATACACCTTAAACCTATCTAAAACTTCATCCTTAGTTTTAAGAAGATAGGTGTAACAATATCTGGAGTGATCGTCTATAAATATCATAAAATATCTCCTACCCCTTCGGGTGAGAACTCGGTTCGAGTCACACACATTACTATGAATTAATTCGAGAGGTTCGGAGTTTCTAGTTATAGACTTGAAGGGTTTCTTAATGTGTTTCTCTTATACACAAATCCCATACGTAGATGAGGGATCATGAGATGATTTAGGAATGAGATTCAATTTAATCATTCTCTGCAAAGTTTGGAAATTTACATGTCCAAGTCGTCCATACCAAACATCACAAGATTCAACAATTTGTGTAACAGAAGATTCAAGAACTTTATTAGAACTGGAATTGATTACATTAACTCATTAAGCTTGAAAATGCCATTACAAATAAAACTTTTTTCTATGAATACAGTATTTTTTGTAATCACAAATTTATTGGATTCTTTTACAATCCTAAAGCCAGTTCTAAGAAGAAGAGATTCACTGATCAAGTTTTGACGGAGAGAAGGAACATGATGAACGCCTTGCAGACTTAAAGCTTTTCTAGAAGTCATTGTGAGCTCTATACATCCACTTTTCATTATTTATTTGATGGAGTCATCTGCTAAGTTTATGCTTCCTCCACACGATTCCTGGTAAGTTAGAAACCAAGAGCGATCATTGCAAATGTGAATATTATCTCCAGAATCCGAGTATCAATCGGAGGAGGAAGTAAGAGAATTTTCAAGATAGAATGAAGAGGCTAAAAGAGAATTTTCAAGATAGAATGAAGAGGCTAACCTGAAGAAAATTGGATTTTCTTCATTCATGTTTACTTTATTAGATCCATTTTCTTTTGGAGCAGGTTTTCCCGGTTCTTTCTTTCGATAGAAGCAGTTAGGAGTCAAGTGGTTGGTTCCATCAGACTTATGACTGAAAGAATTGAGATTTGATTTGGAAGATGATTTGTTGAATAATTACTGATTTTTCTTGAATTTCTTCCCTTTAGGTTTGAAATTCTTATATTTAGACTTATCCTCTACCAAGTTCACTTTAACTTTCATTTCAGTCTTGGTTTTGAAATTTTGTCTATGCTGGTCTTCAATGCGAATAGCCTTGAGAGCTTCAGTTAATGTTAGATCTCCTTGCTTGTGTTGAAGATCTCCAACAAATCTAGACCAGGAAGGAGGGAGTTTGTCAATTAGACATGAAACTTTAAAATCATCGGTAAAGGCGTTTCCTTTTGATTGGAGGTGACAAATGAAATCTTAGAATTCATGAATTTGTTCATTTATAGGTTTGTCATCAACCATCATGAACTTATTGAAGGAAGAGGATATGAAACGCATAATTCCGACATCATCAAAGCCATATTCTGCTTCAAGAACATTCCATAGATCTTTAGCACTTTTGAACTCATAATATATGTCATAAAGATTGTCCGCAAGTGCACTAAGGATCCTATGGCAGCAGTGATAGTTTATTTCTTCTGGTTTCATAGAACTAGAGAATGAACTAGCACCAGAAGCAGAAGTGGAAGGAGTAGGTTGTTCAGGTTCAGGACCATGAACAGGAGAGTTGGAGGTCATGGGTTGAGATCCAAATGATGAAGAATCAGGAGTGTCAATGAAAGATAATAGACCTAGAATAGTGAGCCAGTATCTCATCTGATTAACCCACCGTTTATAGTTAACACCAGTGAACTTATCAGGTTTGACACTCTTGGAATGATCAATGTTTGCCATAAGTTTGACTCAAGTTAACTAGTCTAGGTATTTTGAAATCTGATAGGAATGAAAGTTTTGTCAATACCACTCAACTAGTTACTTAGGGGTATGACTTAAGGGTATGTACTTGATTCAATATTATTTATGGACTAGTAATATTAACCAGTAAATATGAAACCGAACAAATTAATTTTAAAACAGTAATTAGCAATAATAATTTAAGAAATAATTAAAAAAATTCGGATTAATTTTGTAATAGTAATAGTAAAACAATTGTTCTTATTTCGGAATAATATTTATAACAAATTGATAATTAATTACGAATTAAATAATTAACAGTAATTAACTGTAACAAATTAATAGTAATATTTAGCAATGTTAACAGCAATTAATAATTATAGTAATTAACAATAATTAATTAACAATAATTAACAATGAACAATTAATCACAGTAATTATATCAAATGAGCAGATTATAATTTCAAATTAATTACAAATTGAAATTGAGCAAAAAATAATTATCAGCAATTAAAAGCAATTAATTACAGATTAAAATTATTTCGGATTTCAAAATTAACAACTTTAATAATTCAATCTTCTAGATTGTTAAATAAAAATTAAATAAACTTATAGCATGCAAATAAATCTGAAATAAAAAGAACAGAAAATCTGACATGATCGGATAGCAGTCGTGCAATTACTGCACTGTTCTAGAAGATTGAGGACCCGCCTATTGCCCTAGCACAGATGATCCCCTCTCCCCTAGCGGTAAAAATCCCCGGAAATGTCCGGCATCTGTACTCGAGCGAGAGTATAGAGTTTCTGCTCAGATGAAGACAGTTGCCCAAAATTAAAATAAGAACATAGAGTTTAAATTTTTCGAGAAGAAGAAGACTAAAGGACTTTGTTTTTCCGAGAGGGAGGAGTAAAACGAATTTTCGTTTTTGTAATTGCTGTGTATTTTCTGAATTGTGCAGGCCTGTATTCAATGTTACATTAAACGCTAGGCGCTTCTAGGCGTCGGACTTGACGCCCAACGCTTAGTCGCCTAGGCGGGCGCCTAAGCGGTTTCTGGGCGTTTTTTTCTTTCTTCATTTAAGTGGTGATCGATGAGGTTTTGCTGAAGGTCGAAGGAGGTAGTGGAGATGTTCATATTTGGAGGTTAATGGAGTTTGGAGAACGTGTAGGCTACGACACATAAAATCACAATCAAGGCCTACATGGTGCAATCTACGTAAGCAGACAATGCTCCCTAAACGCTCGTAAAATCTAGGTGGGCAGCCTAAATACCGCCTAGGTGCTAGGCGCTAGTTAGGCGGCCTAGGTACCGCCTAGGTCTAGGCGTACGCCTAAGCGGACTAGGCGGAGGTTTTTTAAAACAATGCCTGTATTTATAGGGTTGGGAAACCTTGAGAGCCGTTGAGAATTCTGCACGTTCTCCGTAGCCGTTTGAACTTCCCACACATTGCACGTTGCTCAGTCAAAAGAAAAGGGAAAAATTAAATTGAAAATTTAAAATGTGGCGAGGCGGGCGGGCACGTGCGCGGGTGGCGCGGTGAGGCGGGCGCACGCGTGCGTGTGATATGCAAAACCCAAACAAATTGAAAAATCTAAAATACCCTCCTCTTGGGGGCCCTGAATGGGTAAAGAGAGGAGAACCAATTTAAATCACCAAACATTCACTACACTAGGCAATGTGGGACTATTCTTTGAAGGCAAATTGCCTTTTCTCCTCTACAAGGCCAACAAAACCAAGTCAGAGAATATCAAAGCGCAGGGTGTTTTTGGGGATACGATAAACCCAATAGGGTGTTTCTTACAATCCTAAAAGTTACAAACCCAAAGGTCAAATGATTATTCTTTTAATTGTAGTATAAGCTTGCCTAAATAGAACTAATACTCCATCATACATACTATAACAACATTAATATAACTTGTACATGCTTGTTTTCCCCTAAACTATACAATATATGTCAAAATATCGTTTGTCCTCAAACTTCATCTGAATCAAGAATCTGGTTACATCTGTATTTGTTGTCTCGTGAACATATTTATTTAGTTCCAATACGGATTCTTGTATAATAGCTTCATGAATAAAACACAATACATATAGTTGTATCAATTGCGCATGTATATTTGGAAAAATTACATGTAGTTATATCCAAGATTTCCATGTAGGCAGACCCTGCGTACATGTCCTGTGTAAGGCATCCCATGCCCATACCAGGAAACAACACTCATGTCCGTGGCTACTTATCACAGTATTAGATCACGTAGAAAGTGTGAACCTAAACTTGACCTCGAAATAACAACTCCATTCTCACCAATATGTTTTAGAGAGCAGATAGGAGCCTATAGGTAATTTTCTTTCGAAAGAGTTTACAAGTCTCTCGGTAAGGCAATGACAAGGGGGTGATGAACTTTCTTGGAAGTCAATCATATTGAGAAGGTAATTTGGCATCAAACATTTTCTGGCTGGGGAGAGGATCCAAACACTTGATGTAAAGAGCAAATTGTATGCTTTTGATAAGCACATTAGTGTGCCTTTCGGCTTCCCCTTTTTCACATGAAAAACATCTTTTACTAGTTAGTAGAGTCACAGATAATTTCTGCAACATCTGGCATTAAAACCCATGGTTATGGGCCCAAAGCTTTTAGTGTGGAACATTTTCTTTCCCACATGAAATCCACTATCAGGTAGTTCCTGGAACCACAATTTTTTAATCAACAAGAGCTCAGCTGAACTGAATTTGTAACAGATCCTTTATAAAATCAATATATTGTATTTCTGCTTTATGTGTTCCTTCCGAATTATCTTGTCCTCTCACTGTTATGAACCTGTCACTCTCTGGCAAAATTGTATTTGGTGTAATTGTTGGAACTAACTCATCATTCTTATTCTCTTTATTTCAGCATTTTTGGATTATCATGATATACCATACAAAGTCGTGGAGGTCCATCCTTTCAGTAAGAAGGAAATCAAGTGGTCCGACTGTAAAAAGGTCCCAATCCTTGTTGTGGATGGCGAACAGCTTGTTGAATCATCAGGTTTCTTTATAATTTTTACACTTCCAGAGGAAAATTATTCCATGTGTTTTGAAATGTTTTTCTTTCTATGTTCTAGTGGGTTTTTCTCTATTGCTGGAAGTATATCTTGCAGGTTTTTACTAATTTATTTCTGAAACCACTTGGATGTAGCATAATATTGAATGTTTTTCTTCCAGACATAATAGAGAATTTGAGCCACAGAATTCATCCTGATGATTGCATTGGTGAGGAAGAAACAAAATGGCGAAGGTATGCCATTTTCTTACACTCAGTTATTATTCTGCTTCTATCGTGTTCCTGTAAGTGGTGCTTTGGAAGTTAAGAGTCACTATTACTCCCCCCCCACCCCCTCCATGCCTGTCATTTGACAAGCCATGTCCTGCTTTCTTCCTCAAAAAATCACATTTACTTGAAGAATGACCTATTCCTTGCACTAGCTGGAAGTGGCCAATACTTCTACTGTACGTGTGAAAGTGAATGTGAGACTTTCTATCCTCCCATTCACTTAGTTTGCAGTTATCAAAGAATAACTTGCAGAAGAGCAAGCCCATTAACACATGAAAAATTAAGAATATTGTATGAATTGTAGGCGTCAAAAGTTCCCAACGCAAACACGAATTTCATATTTAATCAAGTGATTTGCAATAACTTTTGTTGATTTCCCCCCAAAAATGGGTCAAAAAATCAATATAAAATGGAGAATGCTACCTATGTCAAAAATCAAAATTAACCTATTATATATAAATCATCAAGAAGCTTAAAGTTTAGACAGACTCCAAGCCGACTGGAAATGGCTCTTGATCAACCTGATGCTTTATCTATCTTGCAACTTTAGTATGAAAACTTTATGATTTAATGTCTTGCACCTGAAACTGTATGCATATCCTGTGCTTTATATCTCATCTGAAAATGAATCAAATCAATTTAGGCATGTAGATTTTGATTAGTAAGATCAATTTTACCTACTAAGTAATTCATTATGTTCAATTCTGACTCATTCAAGCGCAATTATCTCTGACTAAAGTGCATATATTGACAATTTCTACATCTTTTACAAACCAGGTGGGTGGATGATCACCTTGTGCACGTATTGGCCCCAAATATATATCGCACCACTTCTGAGGCTCTCGAGTCTTTTGATTATATAGCAAATAATGGTATGATACTTCCACTACTTCACGTCAGGCTTTATTTAGTCTGGTTTTGGATTACCAAAATAGCATATGATCTATTTGTTAACGTCATTTTCCCCTGCTAGTTGTATTTGCTAGATAGCTTCTTTAATATAACTAGTCTTACACTTTGGAAAAGTTGCAAGAACAAAATGTTGCTTTGAGGGATAAAATTTAGGAAAACCATACATCATTATGGTAGAAACTGAGTAGCATTCAAAATAATGTGATTGTAAAAAAAAATCAGATTTTAATCAAAAAGTTGAAAACAAAGAAAGAAAAAGGAAATCAGCTGGTGTAAAATATCACTGTGAAACTACTACATAAATGTTAATTTTCAATTTTAAATGTAACAAGATTAAAGTTGTAAAGAAAAGTTGGTGTAAAGCCTTCTTTATCGTTAGCCATGATTTTCAATATTCATCACTCCCATGATACTAGACTGAGGGTGCAAAACTATAGGTATACATTAAATTTTGGATTCTTAATCAAGTAAATTTCCTGTCTTAATGTGGAATTCTATGCAATTAAATCCTTTAAGGGGTTAGCTATTCTCTAATATATGGAGGACCATACATGTGTCAATTTGTTTTTCAGTGAGGAACATGGATAAATGATAATCTTGTTAAGTGTTTGCTCCTTAAGAAACAAGCGGCAATTTACGATAATATGCAGATCAATTCTTCTATTCTCATACGGAGGGCGCCAAGGTACTATCTTGTACAATTTAAAGATTTCGATGCAAGGAGGAATTGGAAAGGGGGTCCCAAAGCTGTACCAAATAAATGGTCTACAAATCCAGATGCGCAATTCCAGTGATGTCCAACAATCATAGTTATCTACATGAAGCCTCTCATGTTCGATTCAGTGTAAAACATGAAATACTATTTTAATTAGGAGTAACCATGCGTTTCATCATCTCATCCAATAAGCCTTTTCATACATAGATTGATTTCACTGAAGAATCCAATTCCTTATTTAGATTGCTGTGGAAAAATCGACATAAAATCTATTCGTGGCAGCCTATCTGTTTTTGTCCTAGTTGGTGTTAATTCTCCTTGCTGATGCTATGGTTCTTCATGAAACCTACAGTCTCTTGGAGTCGAATGCAGAAAAAGGAAAACCTAGCCTGTGCCTATTGTGTAATTTGAGCTCATCAGCTGTTATAGTGTACAAGCTTTTTCCTGGTAATTAGTGTAGTAAAACTGTAAAAATTTGCATAGTTGCAAGTAGGAAGGAGACATTGATGAGAAAGTATAATGTTACATGGCCCACATGCACAATGAGGATGAGAGATGACTAGAGCTGTCTTGTAGTGACTATGAAGGGGATAAGAGTCTTCCGCGACTGTACTTACTGCCAAAGAACATGCACATAACTGTCCAATTCGACTACCACACTAGATGTTCTGTGAATTCATTCTGGTGCAGGAGATGCTAACCATTAAGAATCTTACATTTCTTGTAATCCATCATTATTTATTTCTTGCATATCTATTCTTGCATTCGTATCCTTCGGCATGTCAAGACAAATGATCTAACCCATTGAGTAACCAGCATAACTTAGTCCTGCTGTTGAGGGGATGATAGAGAGGGTCAGTAATAATCGTTGGTCTAAACATGTGTGCTTCTAGTAATTTAACATGCCACTGATTGACTGAGCTTTTGGCTGAATTATAACTTGAATTTAGCATAACGAATATGGTTGTTCTTTTATTGAACTTTTGCTGTGCCAGAATTTAACTGTTTTCTTGAACTTGAAACATTCATATGCAAGAACTATTGGTATACATTAAATTTTTGGGTTTTTAATCAATTAAAGTTCATGCCTTGATGTGGAATTCTATGCAACTAAATCTTTTGAGGGGTTAACTATTCACTAATACATGGAGGACCATACATCAGTTTATTTCTCAGTGTGGAATATGGATAAATGATAATCTTTGTAAGTGTTTGCTCCTTAAGAAACAAGCTATAGTTTACGATGATATACAGATCAATTCTTCTATTCCCATATGGAGAGTGCCAAGGTACTATCTTGTACAATTTAAAGATTTCAATGCTAGGAGTATAGGGGGTCCCAAAGCTGTACCAACTTAATGGTCCACAAATCTAGATGTGCATTTCCAGTAGATGTTCAACAATCATAGTTATCTTCGTGAAGCCTCTCATGTTTGATTAAATGCAGAACATGGAATACTATTTCAATTAGGAGTAACCATGCATTTTCTCTTCTCATCAAATAAGCCTTTCTATATGTTTGGCTGAAGAATCTGGTTCCTTATATTTAGGCTGCTCTGTGGAAAAATTGAGCTAAAATCTATTCGTGGTGATCTTATCTTTTTCATCCTAGTTGGTGTTAACTCTCCTTGCTGATGTCATGGTTCTCCATGAAACCTACAGTTTCTTGGAGTTGAATGCAGAAAAAGGAAAACCTACCCATGCATTTTATGTAATTTGAGCTTATCAACTGTTATAGTGCACAAGCTTTTTCCTGGTAAGTAGTATAGTAAAAATTTGCATATTGCAAGTATATAGGATACATTCATGAGAAAGTATAATGTTACATGACGAACACGCACGATGAGGATGGGCAGTGACTAGAGTTGTCTTGCTGTGACTATTAAGGGGATAAAGAGTCTTCCGTGACTGTACCTAGCTGCCAAAGAACATGCACATAACTGTCCAATTTGACTACCATAGTAGATGTTCTCTGAATTCATTCTGGTGCGGGGGGATGCTAACCATTAAGAATCTTACATCTCTTGTTACCCATTATTATTTGTTTCTTGCATATCTATTCTTGCATTCATATCCTTTGGCATGTCAAGACAAAGGATCTAACCCATTGAGTAGCAAGCGTAACTTAGTTCTGCTGCTCAGGAACTGATGGAGAGGGACAGTAACAATCATTGGTCTAAACATGTATGTTTCTAGTAAATTTCATATTTCGCTGATTGATTGAGCTTTATTGAAATTTTGCCATGGCAGAATTTTAACTGTTTTATTGAACTTGGAACATTCATAGGGAAACTTCATGCTCACATAAGTTTTTAAACTGTAGGTAACTTTAGCTTTACAGAGAAGCTCACAGTAAAGTATGCTGGAGCAGCAGTTATGTACGTAGTATCCAAGAAGCTAAAGAAGAAATATAATATCACTGATGAACGTGCAGCTCTCTATGAGGCTGCTGAGACATGGACCAAAGCTCTAGAAGGAAGAGATTTCCTCGGTATGTCATGCTTCATCTAAATTCTTATGTGTAACTCACCATCTTGGACTTCCTCCATCATAATGGTTTTTGCTGCTTGTATCTTCCAGGGGGATCCAAACCTAACTTAGCAGATCTTTCGGTTTTTGGTGTTCTTAGACCAATTCGGTACTTGAAGTCTGGTAGAGATATGGTAGAGCACACGGGAATTGGTGACTGGTACCGAAGAATGGAGACTGTAGTTGGGGGGTCTTCACGAATCCATGCTTGAAAATGTAAAGCAACTCATTGCTGGGTCTTCACGAATCCACAGCTCTCACTAGTTGCTCAAATTTTGATCTAATAATAAAAAAATAACGAACAGAATCATTTTGGCCTTGTTTGTTTACTTTTTGGTTTCGTTGTTCAGCTGGGTGGGGTTTCCTTTATGTATGGTGGAATGTATGTATGATCAATGCGAAGCGTGTACTATTTGATTGCTAAAATATGGGGAAACTATTAACAGTTGCTTAAAACAGGTCTCTCTAGTCTCTCTGCTTGATATTAACAAAATTATCATCTCTGCTTGACTATTTCGTTTGTGTAAGATGTTCTTCTGCAGTGATGTTGTAAACTGATGAAACCTTTGCAATGTTACTGTTTATGGCAACTGGTTGTAGGGAGATGAGCGACAGGGTATATGTAGTTAATACAGGTGTAAAATGATCCCAATATGCTAATGGAAGTGCTTTTTTATTTATTAAAAAAAAGCTGAAAATAGCCCAATGGAAGAATAAAATTCATATACTTGATTCTAAATCTTGGGATAAAGTCTCCAAGGTATTTTTCGCTGATTCCTTTTTATCTTTTTAACCAATTGCACAAATGCTATCAATATTACCTAACTGTTCCGGATATCTTCCCCCCAAAAAAGAGAGCACTTAATAAAAAAAAAATCATCAGAAGGCGTTGACAGGCAGAAGAAACAGGTTAACCTGTAACATAATTATTAAACTATAACAAAAATTATCAGAAGACATTGGCAGAAGAAAGGATTAAAATATTAATCAATTTCTTCAACGAGCGCCACGCAGTTGACCGTATCAGTTTGAAGGTTGCAACCTTCCGACATTAGTAAAGACCAGAGCAGTTAAATAACCAACAAGTTGCTAACGGGGCGGGAAAAACCTGGGACAGAAATATTAGTCGTCTATACATCACATATCACCGTTCTTTCCCCCTAATGGGAGACAGGCAATACTAAGAAAATCATAAACTACAACATGATACAGTACATGTACACCCGCTGCAACAATAAAACAACCAACTACATGGAACCCCAAAACTCATCATTCCTGAACAACACCCACCTCTGGCTCCGCTCGCCAATGGTTCTTGTTGAATTCCATCATTGCAGGCTTATCCTCTCCGTGTAACTCGATTTCATGAGAATTGGGATTAGAGCTTTTCTTCGGGCTCTCCAGATCAACACCTACAAACTCTGCGTCCTCCTCAAACAATGAGGGCGCAGGTTCCTCAGGTTTAGCTTCACTGGGCTCCGATGTGCTTGTTGGGTTTGTATCAGCTCGATCCATGCTAACTGTGACAGAGCTTTCTTCAGTAACATCTTCCGTGGTTGAAACATCATCTGTGCTGTCCACTTGGATATCAGATGGCTCGCGCCAACCAACCCAATCGGGCAATTGCTGATCATTGAATAGATCATCGTTCACTCCTGTCTCAAACCGGAACATGCTCATATCATCATCAAGTGCACTTACCTTTTGAGGGTCTGTTGACATCTGGTTCATAACACCATTTGAAGTGGCATTGGCTACCACATCCGCATAAGTTCTCGATCTGTCTGCAGTATTTCCAAATACCCCGTTCTCAACAACCGTCACCTCCTCCTTGTTACTATTCAAGCTGATATCTTCCATCCTATCCAGGGTGGAAGTGCTCAGAGGTCCTTCAGTTACTCTATCTTCTTGAAAAGCAAACCAATTGGAGTTTGTAAATAGATTACTGCCGAACATAAGAAAAATGAGCTCAATTATGAATGTGAAACATAAATAAAGAAAACCAAGGCACGAAAGTTTAGAATGAAGGAAAAGAAATTCAAGAGAAAAATACCTCTCGTTGTCATCCCCAAGTCTCAAAGAAGAGATCACAACTTCGGCAGACTCATCATCAAAATATACATCCTGCAGTTGTTTGGGTTGTCAGGATGTATTCTTTACAATAAACTTAAAAGCTTTCAAAATTCCTTTCAGGCTTTTCATGTTATGGTTAATTGCGGATATTACCCCCTTGTACTATGGTCCAATAGCGGATAGACCCCCTGTACTATTTGCCCCAGTTCAGATACACCCAAGTTATTTTTCTCTTAAAAGAATAAAAAAAAGTTCACACAGGGAGTCTATCCACAATTGGGCGATGGTACAGGGGGTCTATCTGCAATTAACACTAGTTTTAATCACTATGACAGAAAAAACTATATAAATCTTCCAAAGTGGTGTAGATGTTTTATATCAGAAAGTCCAAATAAGCTATAGAGAAGATGCATCTTCAAGACCTCAAGTCAGGAGCATAGCCTGATTCCCTTCTACGACTGATGAATGGGTTATACTCTAAACATTACAAGGTCAGGAGCAGTAGAATAGCTTCACACAAAAAAGAAAGGAAATAAAAAAGAAAGAAAAAGAAGAAGAAATTTTATAAATTAAAATGTTTATTTTCATTATACATCAAAAACATGAGCATGTTAATATTTCAAATACCTTGCATAACTGTTGAAGTCTTAAAAGTTTTTTTTATCTTTTATTTATCCTCTCGACATTATATTCCCACATGCAAATCAGTCATTTGAAAAAATGTTTGCAAGAAAATCAAGTACAATATTAGTTGCACGCAAAAAATTGAAAAAAAAATTGAGGAACTATCTGGCAATTAAATGATACATTGAATAAAAATTATAACTACCTCACCATAAGTTGGAATAAAAAAAGATAAAAAGTATAACTGTAATTTATAAATATAAGAAAGGCATCCAATCCACTGTACCAGACCAAAAACTAAACACCTCACCTCATCGGCATCATCATTATCATAAGAGTTGTATCTGAAGGCTTGACTTAGATTATTTGCCAAAGCTGCAACATCATAGTCTCTATCGTTGATCTCGTCTTCATCACTCTCTCTCCTTTCTTGCATTGTAGTAGGACGGCTGCAAAAAAAACAATTTACCTTTAATTCACTATGAAATATTTAACCAGGCAAAAAGTCATGCCTACATTTTACTATGGAAATAATAAACTAATTAATTTATAAGCAGTTAGATCTACAGGGCAGTAAGAAGCTGGCAACAAATTAGCCATTTGCAAAGGAGATTTCAGTTATCTGCAGGAATTGTTTCATACTGAATACTATCAACTGAAGGTCTTCGGAAGATTTAAGGACGTGTTTTAAGAAATAATTGACAATCACTGCAAGGAATAATTGGCACTTAGTAACCAGATACATACCCACAGGCCCATCGATAAACATTTTCTACTGTGTTGCGTTCTTGCAAGACATTGGTTTGCCAATCACTCCACTCAGCATTTTCCTATACATAGGAAAATAGTTAAAAGAAAAGTAGTTAAAAACAATTCAAACACTTTTTACGAATTTAAGTGCAAGCAGAATTACTAGTTGAGCCTTTTGAAGATGGGTAGCCAGAAAGTAACATACATGATAATTGACAATTCTGGTGCTCGAACTTATTGACTGCCAAAAATATAAAAACAGACACAGGAACATATAAACATAAACCACTCCGGAAACTACCAAGCAAATTACAAATTAGTAAGTTCTGTTGCGCAAACATTCCCAACACAACCTCAATTATAGTCAACCCTGATTTTTGCTGTGTTTCTGACCAAACAAAAGCAATTAATACTAGGAGTTCTAAATGTAAGCAACGAAGCATAATTTCTAGTTTAACTTTCTCATTATATGGCTATTACAAGAAAATATTGTACTTTGGAAGTGAAAATCCGGCTATCTTGACCTCACTCATTCACCAAATATAAAACAGAAAGTGCACCATATAATGTTTGAAGGTAGCCTGTACATTCTACACCCATTTTTGAGATAACCAATCAAATTTCCAACTAAAAGAGATCCACTGATGAAAAATATTAACAAAAAAGACCTAAATATAATAAAGTATAACTGAATGTGATTTTCTTTGTTACCCCAATGTCATGCATTAAGGCTCTAATCTAAATGAAAACAAAATATAACAGGTTTATAAGGTTAAACTCTCCATTAAAAAATGTTATGTAACTAAAAGTTACAAAAAAAAAATATTATTTTGTGTAGTTCCACACGATTCAATAAATGAGCATATAATTTGCTTGTGCATTACCCGACCATACGCGTAATGCCTACATTTTTTGTTCAAAACATTGGTCTTAGCTCAGGGACCCATAATCCATTTCTACATAATCGATATAAAGTTGACCTCAGAAAAAAATATTGTCCACATGTAACTTTACGGCTAACAATAACCAGACAACTTGTAGGCTGTGATCACCATCAGAATGATAATGCCATAACATTTTTTTCCTGAATCTTTCTACTCTATAGTTGGCAGAATAACTTGTTTCTCACTTATAATCAGTGCTTTTATACAAATTAACCATGTTCACAAGATTTTGTAGTCAGTGAAGTTTACAAAACTTCCCGTACTCACTTAAGCCAAATTTATTAGCACCAACTTGAGCTGAACACAGATGATCTGCAATTCTATCCACTCAGTAACTTTTGGATAATGCTGCATGTCATCTCTGCGACTGGTGATATTTAATTAGATGGTCATTTTCCCATCATAAGTGTGAGACAACATCAGATTAGCATATCATTATGTCTGCCTGCAATTTACTATACTAAGATATATGAAGCACAAAAACTGTAGGTAATCATATAAATCAGACTTGGATAAAGAAAGAATTCTTACCTGTAAATACTTTTGAATATGATCATTGCAATTACCCACTTGAATGAGCTTGTTAGCAATTCGTGTTATGTGTCCAACATAGCCAGCACGAGGTGGCCGTCCTCCAGCAGCGGGTTTTGTCAGCTGCAAGGCCGAAAAGTTTAAAAATAGTAAAGGTACAGATTCTAAGGTGTCTTCATATGATAGGTATCACAGTTCGTGGCAGACAGGGCATAGGATATAACTTCTCAACAACAAAGGTTGCGTTTATCTTTACCAGATTTGAATCGGTGGAGAGGTCGGAACCCTTATCTGCTTGTAGAAACTTATTAATTATATTGCAGTCTTCAAATAAATGATCAACAATGGCATTATTCTTGCTATCCAAGCATGCCGTTATTATGCTCTCTACATGGTGGTGCAGTGAATTATTGAAGGGATACCTGCAAGATTTGATTATTGATAGAATTAATGAAACTCGTGTGCTATGGCTGCCAGAAAAAATTAAAAAAAATTGTTCTTACTCAAAAAAGAGATCTAGGATTTTCTGGATAAAGCCAGAGTTAACAAGCTCCTTCTCAGCAGCTTCCTCACCGGTTCCTAATAACACTGCAATGAATTCCACAATCTGAAAATAAAAAACAAATTGGGATATTAGCAACTAACTGGATATGGGAAATTAAGTATTTAAGTACATAAGCGTTCAGGTTCATTGTTAACGTTCACCTCACAAACTCAGGTACTCATTTGGGATTTTTCACTTGAAGATGTGAGAACAAAAGGCATCAAAATATTACATAGACACTATGTATGTGTACCTAGCTTTAGTTCTGGTTGAAACCAACCTAGTCTAAATGCAACGAAATGGTCTTCAAACAAGATTTACTAAAGGAACCCAGAGTTTCGGTGGAGCCTGGAACGCGGTGAATGCAGAACAAGTTGAAGCTTCCAAGGCCATGCATTCTCCTAGAGAATACAACAATGGAAGACAGTACACGAGTGAAAAATCATCAAAACAGGAAGTTGAGGAGGTAGGCATTTCCGCATCTCTCGACACGTCAACTATACAAGTGCGTAGGACTTGATCAGGAGGAAGAAGTTTCAAATGCATGCATCCTGAATTTGTTTATGATGTTCTGTTAATGTATTCAAAAATGCAGGCATTCTAAATCTGTTTGTAATCTTGTATGTCTATCAACTTGTTCTATAGTTGGTCACACGGATATTTGTTTCATGTGCGTCCAATATTATCATTAAAAAAAATTAAAAAAAAACACAGACTTTTTTAGTTTTTTAGTAAACATCGCTTGGTCTAATCAGGTCTAAATGGGTTTGATATGATGGCATCCAATCTAATAATCCATATCCGTCTTTTTATAGATCTGGGTCCAGCTCTAGGTTAGATTTTTGCCCAAATTAGGTCCAAAATTAGTGTTACAAAAAGGCTCAACCAATTATATCATGTTAACTTTTGGTATCTAGTGTCCGCCCATACAAGAGTAAATATGAGTAACAAATTAAATTTTCTTGTTAAATAATCATTATTGACCAACATGCTCAGTATAGAGAACTCATTATCTCCTGCTTCACTTTTATGGCACCACAAAACAAATGAAATAACATACTTTTAGGCGATGCTTCCCGAGTGGTGGTCTTAGTTCACCGTAAGTAGTGGGAAGGATATTTTCATCAGACGACACGTCCAGCAGTGTAATCAGTGCACCTGTAAAATTGCATGATTAAAAGAATGCCAGTAAACACTCGGGATGAAAGAGAAAACTGAGGTGGAAACATTTTATTAAGAGATGTTTCTTAGATTATCACAACTGCTGAAAAGTGCTTGTCAAATTCAAGCAGGAGTTATTTTCAAGTCTTGCAAGAGCTAAATAGCTAGATATAGACAATTAGGCTACCCCTACAAGTAAATCAAGAAGAAAAAAATTCTAGTAAAGCAGTGGTAAAATTCTTCCATGTTGACTCTATCCTGAAATGCAGAAAAAGGAGCTTCAAAAAGAAAATTTTTAAAAACAGTTCACAGAAACAGTTTAAATTCCATAGGAAAAAGTACACGTTTCAATGACAGTTGAGAGTCTAGAATAGTTACCGTTGGTGCAAAAGTTACTGCTTTCAACCAGCCAACATCACAGAAAAAAAGTTCATTTATATAGCCACACACTTTTCGCAATGTTCAATGAGCTTTGAGCTCGAAGGAACTGAGGACAAGGTAATAAGTATAAAAACTTCAAGAAGAAACTTAAATTTTATTTTGCAGAGATCGTATCCCAACACAAATTAGAAAAAGAAAACCAGTAAAGCTTCATGCCAAATTTTTCAGCGGATACATGAAATTCCTTTATACTTTCATTAACCTCAAAGCATGTTCTTTTTTATCGAACTCAAGGCACTTCTTAACATTGACCCCATCTCACTTAATTTGGTGCACCCCTTTCGTTGGACGCGTCTACCCCATCTCTAGAGATCACCCCTCATCTTATCTATGTTGAAGCATTATCACATTGCTGCGAATCCATCATATGATCTCATTCTAGCTACAATCACTTCTCAGACATGTTGCAATCCACGACATTCACCTCACCAAAAAGAGTCCAGAAAAGTAGAAGATGACTATGTTCGGTATAGAAATGCATGCATGCAGGTCATACTGTTGAGTCAAAGGGGCAAAAGGAAGCATGTATCCTTCTAAATACTCTCTAAATGAAGAGAGGTGAGGATTGTCGCAAAAGAACAGATAGTCAAATCATCGCACTACTGTTTTCCACATCATCAGGATATAAGCCAAAGAGCTAAAAGGAACTTTAATCCAGATGTGTCAATTATAGTTACAATAAATAAAGGGATGAAACTGAAAGCAAGAGAAACTTATACTCTAAATACTACATGATGCTTCCAAATAATAGAACCAATATAACACTTGCTCCTGCACAGGTCTAGACCATATAAAAGGCTCCTCAGTTTTAATATATACATACACAAACAATCAAGAATTAGAGAAGAAATTTTGAATAGGACAGGACAATCTTGATTTAAACCAGGAAACTATCCTGGATATGATAGCAATTGGTGCTTAAGAGCAGCTATAAGTAGTAGTTACGAATTGCTAGAGAAAACTAAGTCATAAAAGCAACAAGTATATGTACACCAAACAAGGCTTGTTTAGCTACCCTTCAAGGTGTGAGGTAATGGAAAATGGCCACTTATCTGATAATGTTCATGATAACTTACCCAACCCTGGTAGCATCGCAGTAATGGTCTCAGGATCAACATGAAAAGATGGTTCATACAAATGTTGACTCCTGAAGGAATGAACAAGAACAGCTGAAGCTGATCTTTTGGGATCCAACAAGGAGATGCATACAGAGAGAGAGTGAACAAGAGCAGATTTAGATGGTGAATCTTCCAGCGCATGACCAAAAATCCTAGCAACAAAGCTGCATAGAAACGACAATGATATCACACCCCATGTACCATAAAAGCAAATAAACACAATGGACATAGCAGTAGATGATTCCACGATGTAAAGAAACATACCTCGGGCTGGCAAGTTTTGCAGCTAATGCTGATGGTGCGTTTCTGATTATGGCCCCCAGTACCTCAGCTGCATTAGCATGAACTTCAGGTGAACACTGTTCAATTTTGCGCAGATATAAAGTCAGTAAACAGTTTGCCTTTCAATTGGAAGTTGAGTTACACAACTACAGAGCAAATAGCCAAAACTAAAAAGTAAAACAGGAGACATTTCAATAACAAATACTGCACTTATCTTTTTTGTTGAATTCAAGAATAAGGAAGAAAATGAAATTTAAACTAAAAAAGTAACACAAGCAGGATGATAAGGAGGAAATATAGGCAAGTGCAACAGTCCTTTAACAGTGCTGCAGCTAGACTCTCAAGCTACTATTTCAATTAAAAATAAAATCAACAAATAGTTAAAAGTCTTTCCGTGTACTTACAGATGCATTTAGTTTATCCACAATCATTTCTAAAAGATTGCTGTCAGATAACCACTGCATAACATCCATAAAATTTGGATACAAATGATCATCAGCGCCAACAAGTCGAACCAGAATCTGTCAGAAAAAGAAAATCAAAGACAATTAATTGAAGAAAAAAACATCATCACTAAAGTGACAACTTTGAGAAGAAACAGTAATTGCTAAAGGTGGATATATCATAGTCAGCTGCGATTGGCACAGCACTGCACGGCTCTTTTCTATATCACCACCACCAAAAAAAAGATAAACAGATCACCATTGGGAGAAACTCCTAACCTCCATGATCGATGTGATGCCTATCAAGTCAACCAACTGGCGGAAAATTTTATCATGGGTCTGCGATGAAACAAATGTTATGTACAACACAGTATATTAATAGAAAATACAGATTAAGCATGAAAAATGAAGGACAAAAATCACGAAAGAAAATACTACGACTAATCTAGAAACGTCATAATATAGACAGAATGGGCAATTAATGATGTAAGAAAAAATATAATATTTCAAGAAAGTGAAACAAAGGAATTGTACAGATTGAATACCTAGCCTTACTCCAAAATGGAAAGAAGTGAATGTAAAACATCTGTTTGTAAGTTCAAAAACTTTATATTACTTAACCCAAAGCATGTGTAAATCATACCAACATGGTCGGGTAAACAAAACATGACTGATTCTAAGTTAAAAAAAGTAGCACAGACACGGACATGGCGATTGGAGACGCGAAAACAACATGGTACATGATACACACCAAATATGAAAAAGGCACCGGGAAGAAGTGTCAAATCTCATACAAGGTCCACATGACACAGGCAGTTATCCATCCTCCACAGTTGTCCATCCTCCAAAATATTCTATTACAGTATGAAGCACTGCTTTTGCTGAGTAATTGGTCCTCGGCAAAGAGTTTAAAAGACCCCAGCTAATACTCACAAGCACCTCTTTGAAAACTAAATCATTCTTGATTCTCCTAATATACATTCATCATATTCTTAAAAATTGTATTATATTTGCAAGAGTAGTTCTCTGAATAACTTTTACTGTGGCATTATTTTTCTGTTGTTTCTATTTCAGAGGAATGTGAACTGTAAAATCATAAAAGTTAAGGTAAGGTTATAAAACTAACAATTATAATCAATACAGCATACGGACAAAATATCAAGAACTAAACGCTTGTGGTTTTCTCCTTATGTATTCGAAGATAAATAACTTTTCAAGAAAGTGCAAATATTATCAACATAAAATTAAAATATTTATATAGCTAGATTCAGGTTTAAACAGGAAATAAGCTAAAAAGGAAATCAAAAAATTATTTGAAGCTGTGAAAGAAAATAGTTTTTCAAAAAAGCAGCTCACATGGGTCAATAACTTACCTGAACATACTTCATAAGTGATGTTGTCTTCCTTAACATTAAGCATACAACCACCTAGAGTAACAAAATTGTAGACTATTATTTAGAAGTGTAAACAACGTAATCTTTTAAACAAAATATGGAAATTTCATGTCACCTTGCTAAAGTATCCAGCCAATAAGGAATTGTGTGTATGGTTTGGTTCAAGAAAGGAGAATAGCAGATCCATCAGCTGCCAAAGTGAAACAATAGTTAGTGGGGTAGCTAGAAAGTGATATATTCTGCAGAACAGATCAAATAATTATTAGCAGAGAGGATTTGCAAGAACAATTGTCAATCAGCTACCTCTTCGTCCTCTACCAATGTCTTCAAAATAACATCAATCTCACAAGTGAAAATTTCACAAGCAATGAAAGGGAACCTGGTTCACAAAATAACATCAATCTCACAAGTGAAAATTTCACAAGCAATGAAAGGGAACCTGGTTCACAAAATAACTTTAGTGAAAAAGAAAAAACAGAAACAAAACTGCACTGAAATCCAAGAATACAACAGCCACAATTTAAAATAGTAACAAAGCATACTTGAAGGCTCGCTTGCTTTCAGCATCTGCAGGAGCATCTTCCACAATATATCGCACCAATTGTTCTACTTGAGCTCGGTCTCTAAGGCTGGATACATAAAGTATCAGGTTAGTCCATTTTCTCAATTTAATATTATTTTTTATGATTAAAGTTACATAAAAATTTGCTCGCCGATTTGCAAGCTGGTTTCCTTTCCCCCTCAAAACCAGACATCATTCAGCACCGGTTGCACAGGCCAGTACCTTGGATTGACGTACGTATTCTATTCAGTAGAACATACTAAAAATTATATACATATGCTTTCTGCCTGTATTTTCTAGTGAACTACAAAGAAAAGCATGTGCGTAAGAAACAAAATATTTTGAAACTAGATTAAGTTCTCAGGTTGAAGAAGCAGAAAGAAAGGATCAGTAATGACTGAAACCAAAAAGCAAATCAGCATAGGAATTGGTGAAATACCACTGCTGGCCAACCAGCAGAAGGGATCAATCAAGCCATTTATTTTCTGTTTATCTGTTTATATTTAAAATCAAAACTAGTCCTACTAAACCCAACCCAGAATGAACAAGTGATAATTTCAACTCTTCTCTGCTCAATAAGTGAATTGCCAATTACAGAAAATATTTTAAGAGAAATAGAAAAAATATATTACAAATTTATAAGGCGGGTGTTTAAAGCTTTGCATTCTTGAATTATATCTTCTTCATCCAGAAGTTCTTCCAGCGTGAAGTTTTCCTTGTCCAATATGGACTCAATCTGGAAAAAAATGCAGTATCAGTCATGAATAACATAATATGTGAATGATGATTAAAGATATATTTAAGAAAAAAGAATTACCAAGACATGATAAAAGTCAGATCCCAAAACAGTGACATACTTGTTAACAGAATATTCAAGTTTTGATGGTTTAAGAGACCAGTCTAGTTCAACTTAAAATGAAATACCAAGACTTGAAAAACTAATATGAGAACAAGCCTAATGTAATGCACTATGCATGAAACAAAAAAAGGCCTACTAGCAGTCGAATCTAGTTTTAGCTGAAGATGGTGACATATAATCAACATTTCTCGCTACAAATCATTGGTCTTCCTTCAATACTAAAGTTCAGAAAATGATTCATCAAATAAGCCACATCGGGAACTAACCCAAAACAAAAGGTGATGCCAAACTAATGACTCGGTGTTTACAAACCTCTTTAGGGTAATGAATATACCTATCTTGTTGACAGAAAGCTATACTCAGTGAATAGCTCTATATTCAGTTCATAAAAATTAATTATGCATATTATATAGCACGCTGCTCATCAACTTAATACCTTTCCTCAGTCCTCTTTCCAGGCTACTAAAATTGGACTCGCCAAAAAACTTACCGATCGAGTAATTTATATAAAATTTAGTCCACACAGATCTATGTTCATCAGTGTCATGGCCTCCGAGCAATTTTATAGAAGCCCCAATAAACAACTGACTAAATAACTACTACCCAAAGTCAATATCAAGTCAGTTTAACCCTAATTTCTCTTCAAGAAAACTTATTCTGTAAACAGGTGTTGGATTCCTGCTGCAAAAAGAACCAAAAATCAACTTTTTTAAAAAAAAAAACATTAAATCATCAATCTACTGATAGCAAAGCTGAATTGAGTTAGAAACATGAAAAAGCCTACGGCTTACCAATGAAATTGAACAAAAGACACGTAAAGCAACCTAAATTTTACCAACCCAACAAATTCAGCAAATTAACCTAGAATTCAAACGTAGACACAAATCGAAGTTCTATTAGTTAGTGATACTCACCGGAGACGAAGCAGAGAAGTTGGGAATTCTCCAAAACATCTTCAAATGACAATATTTTGCAGAGCGAAATAAACCGAACTAGGGTGACGAATCGGGGATCTGGTCACCGTCGACGAGAGAAGAATCAGAGTCCGCTTGAGAAATTGAGGGGATTGAGGAAGAAGAAGAGCGAGAGCAGCCAGAAAAGGGGTCTCAAGAGAGCGAGAGAAACCCTAGATTTTGGGAGAGGGGGGTTTTTTTTTTTTTTTTTTTTTTTTTGAAAGAGAGAGCCAAATGAAGCGATGCTTGGTTGGCAAATCAGTGAAAGATTTGTAGCTAATTTGCAAATGAGGACGGATTTACTTATGTTTTTACAGGTGCAGGCCGAGGACCCATTTCGGAATGTTGATGATGGGGATGGTCAATAGTGAAATCTGTAGCTCAAGTCAACGAATTGGTCCGCCTTTGGTTATCAAAGCGCCAGCGTAATAGATTATTTTTCTTTTTTCTTTTATAGCTTTAGTTTATTTATTCTTTAATAACTAATATAAAAATATTACACATGTGATGATGACAAGCGGGCAACAAGTTGCGCCGCTAATCCTTTCTGAATTGCAAAACCTAACCTACGAAACACATACTCAGCGGACCCTGCTGTCACCACATTCTTATTCGCGAATTTCTGAACCCTCCTGAGGAACTCCACCGCATCAGCTGCAAGGAAACCAAACGTGTCGAAAGCGAACGGGATGAAGCTGTGGTGGTTGTCCTTGCAAGCTTGATCATGTTTGCCCACCTTGGCCTCTGCCGCTCTATCCGCTGCATGCCCAACCTTGAACTCTCCATTACCTAACCCCACCAACGGAGACACCCCTGTAAGATCAACACAAGCATGCTTCCCCCCGCTCCAACTGTATGAATTTTGAAAATTATACCATTTTCTTTTTATTTTCTTCCTGCCTTATATGAATTTCGAAAATTATACCATTTTCAAATTTTAGTATTCGACATTTTCCCACCTTAATTTCCACATGCACAATGAAGAAATGAAATTTTATTTTATTTTATTTTATTTTTCTTTGGGAAGAGAAACCAATGAATAAAATAGTAAACGGAAAAGTAATTATTATAAACAGCCTTAATTGCACTTATATACCCAATAGTTTCTCCTACTTTGCACTTATATACCCTCGTTTATTTTTAGCAGCGCTTAAATACTCTAAAGTTTATAAAACTTACACTTAAGTACTATTAAACCTTATGAATGTTTTAGGGAAAACTCCAATATATACTCTAAAGTTTATAAAACTTACACTTAAGTACTATTAAACCTTATGAATGTTTTAGGGAAAACTCCAATATAAGTCCTCTAATATTTAGCGGGGCTCATTTTAGTCCTTAATAGTTAAAACTCAGTAATATAGGATCTTAACGTTTACTCTGCTATCAAATTTGGCACTTTTTTATTTTATTTTTTCTCTTAAATTTTGCTAATGTGGCATGATTTTTTGGTCTTTTGTTTTTCAAAAAACTGCTTCCGCTCCATAGTTTTTGAAAATCAAAATTTGTCCCAAAGTCAAAACTTAAAATATTTTCCCCTCTAAACATTTAATTCACATTGCCAAGCTACCTCTCCCCAGCAATATTTTTATTTATCCTTAATACAACCCTAAGTTTTCATGTTTTAAAATTAGTCATTAGAATCATGGAATTAGTTATTGGGTCCCTCAATTCATAAGGAATTTTAAAATTAGTTCCTCAAATCATTAAATTTCTATTAGGTCCCTTGATTCTTAAGTTTCCCTCCAATCAAGAGTAAAAATATCAATTTGAGAGAAATTAATCTCTGAAATCATCTAAACTTCTATTAGGTCATACAATTACCAAGAGTTATTTCAAGTCAATCCCTTTGGTTGCTAATTTTACTGTTGATTTGATGGACTAATTTTAAAATAGCTTTAAAATTGAGGGGCCTAATAACAATTTCAATGATTTGAGGAAATAATTTCCAATTACCTTTTGAATTGAGGTGTCCAATAGTAATTTGCATGATTCAAAGGACTAATTTTAAAATATGAAAAATTAGGGTTATTTTTTGGGATAAATGAAAACATTGTTGGGGAGAGGAGGTTTGACAAAGTGAATTAAATGTTTAGGAGATAAGATATTTTAAGTTTTCACTTTTTTTTGTGTGTGTGTGGGGTGGCAAAGCTTGAAGTTAATTTTAAAACCATAGATTGGATGCAAATTTTCCAAACAAAAATAACCAAAAAATCATATGCCACATCAGCAAAAAAAAGTACCAAATTTAATGAGTTCCAAATGTTAAAGACCCAAATGAAATCAAGCTAAGCTAAAACATTAGGGACTTATATTAAACGTTTGCCAATATTTAACTACAGATGAAAAAATATATTAGAGTGTTTATTTTGAATCCAAGTGTAATGCAACTCTCAATTTCACAAAACGATTGAACTCTCTCCATTGAAAGTCCATGCATAAGCAGGATGGAAGTTATGTTGGATCTACATCAAAACTTGAGATCTAAAACCATATAGCCATGATTAATTCAAAGAGATTAATAAAATCAAAAGAGCGGAAGCTTATACCTGAATCCATGGATGAAATCTTGATTTGGGTTTTTGATGATCTTCTAACCTTAGGGTTTCTCTAAAACCAAATTTCTCTAGCTAGATGGAGGTGTAGAGAATTAGAGAATGTAGTAACCCTAGATTAGGGACCATAACCCCTTATTTATAGATGTTGTACTTTTGTAATTTAGCCCCTCAATAAATTACAATTACAACCTGGTATCTGCACATATAACCCCATGACTTATTTAAATACCAAATTAACCCAACTTAATTGATCACTTTAGTGGGTTATCCTGAAAGATAGCAATACACATTGATTAATCATATGTGCCCACAAATAGATTTATTAGATTAAATCCAACAATCTCCCACTTGGGCACCATATGATTCCTTAAATTGTGTATAACCTTATGAGCTCAAAAATTGCTATCACTGAAAAGGTATTTCCGAACAATCTCGTCCATTGACTATATCAATATAGGATCAAAGCGGCCTTCGTCACATTTATCGTGACTCGACCCATCAATGGTCACATATACCAATACAATCAAACGACATAGATCAATCATGGATGTGCAGCATGAAAATTACATGCAATGTGATCAGTACATGTCTATTTTCAACTGGTCCTCCTTAGTGAGGTCAAAACCAAACATAATGTAACAGAGTGTCTTAACTGAAAACTTTATTCTGATCAGACAATACAAACAAACATAAAGCACCACAAATACAAACTCCCACTAAAACATAACATCCTCAAATAATACCACACCCATATGAGCAGTATGCTCATGAAAGACCTTAGGTGGCAATCCCTTAGTAAGAGGATCAGCTATCATGGAGTTTGTCCCAATGTGCTCTATGGATATCTGTCCACTCTGTACCCTTTCTTTCACAACCAGGAACTTAATGTCAATATGTTTTGACTTAGTTGAGCTCCTGTTGTTATTGGAATACATTACTGCAGATTTATTGTCACAATATAACCTTAGTGGTCTTTCAACATTTTCCAAAATGCGCAGTCCCGTGACAAAATTTCGCAGCCATATTCCCTGATTGGATGCCTCATAGCAAGCTACAAATTCTGCTGCCATAGTGGAGGAAGCTACTAGTGTTTGTTTGACACTTTTCCATGATATAGCTCCTCCTGCTAACATATAAATGTAGCCTGATGTAGACTTCCTGCTATCTTGGCATCCAGCAAAATCAGAGTCCGAATACCCAATGACCTCTAATTTCTCTGATTTTCTGTATGTGAGCATGTAATCTTTTGTTTTCTGAAGATACCTCATAACCCTTTTGACTGCTATCCAATGATCCATACCAGGGTTGCTTAAGTATCTGCCTAACATCCCAACAATGTACGCAATATCCGGACGCGTACATACCTGAGCATACATTAGACTTCCTACAGCCGAAGCATAAGGAATCTTCTGCATTTCCTGAATTTCAAGGTTACCTTTAGGGCACTGATTGAGACTAAACTTGTCTCCTTTAGCAACAGGGGTGTCACCTGGTCTGCAATCTTGCATGCCAAACCTTTTAAGTACCTTATCGATATAGCTCTTTTGTGATAATCCAAGAATACCCCGAGAGCGATCTCGATGTATCTGGATCCCTAATATAAAAGAGGCGTCCCCAAGATCTTTCATCTCAAAATTCTTTGATAGAAATCTCTTGGTTTCGTGCAACATGCCTATATCATTAGTGGCAAGCAAGATGTCATCCACATACAGAACCAGAAAAATATACTTACTCCCACTGAACTTGTGATATACACAGTCATCAACAATGTTCATCTCAAAACCGAACGAGATAACTATTTGTTGAAACTTATGATACCATTGACGAGGAGCTTGCTTGAGTCCATAGATGGATTTCCTTAATTTGCAAACCATATTCTTTGGGTCTCCTGACACAAAGTTTTCTGGTTGCACCATATAAATCATCTCATCAATGTCTCCATTGAGAAATGCAGTCTTAACATCCATCTGATGTAACTCAAGATCATAATGAGCAACAAGTGCCATGATTATTCTGAAAGAGTCTTTCGATGAAACCGGAGAGAAAGTCTCTGTATAATCAATGCCTTCCTTTTGAGTATAGCCTTTAGCCACAAGACGCGCCTTATACCTCTCCACATTACCGTTTGCATCCCGCTTGGTTTTAAAAATCCATTTACAACCAATTGGTTTTGCACCTTCTGGCAATGGGACAAGTTCCCAAACCTTATTGTCTTGCATAGACTTATACTCTTCATTCATGGCATCAATCCACTGTTGAGAGTTAGAACTTTTCATGGCCTGAGAGAAGTTGATTGGATCATCTTCTAACATTCCACTACTTTCCTCATGTTCTTGGAGAAATACAATATAATCATCCGGAATAGCATTTCTCCTTTCTCTCGTGGATCTCCTTAATGGCACTGGTTCTTGAGGTTGTTGAGTTTGTTCTTCTGGAACAGGGAGTTGTTCAACATTATCATCTTGAGGTTCCGGATTTACTTCTTGAGCAACAACAGGTATAGGAACCTGAATATTGTCAAAAGTAACTGTATGGATTGGATCTGAAGCCAATTCCTCCTCAAAACTAATGTCTCTAACCTTATTTCTCCCCCCAAACTCAACATCCTCAAAGAATGTTGCTGTTCCCGTCTCAAAAATATTCCTTATAGTGGGATCATAAAACTT